GTAGGACAAAATAAGTGTCACCTGTTGGCAAGCCTGCAATATCTGTAACCTTGCTGTTGCCACCTGCATTGGCACTGAGCCTATGCATCAAGTTTTAGGTTCTGTTAAGGCGTCCCATTTCCAGGCAGTGTCCTAAGGCTGTGATAGTTGAAATATGGCTTTGGACTCCTTAGGGAATTCTAAAACTAACAATGTTTACCTTAGACAAAATAGATGTCCCAAGAAGCCCAAGAAAGTATGTCAACTCTCCTCTGCTAAGTCCTCAGGGACACAGACAACTTCTGTCTTGTGTCCCTTTAATCTTCAAGAGAAGCTTCTTCCAGCTTTTGCTCTAAGACAGTGGCTCTAATTTCTACCCCGGGAACGGAGAACAAGACCATATCACATGCTGTTAAAGCACAACCCAAAATGTCATAGTTCATTTTCATTCAGATCTCATTGACCATAGTTTCATCACATGTCCATACCTAGCTACAAAGGAAGCTAGAAAATATAATCCTTAGCTGTGCTGAGTCCAAAATTCTATGATGTATAAAAAAGTGTGGCGATTCCTCAAGGCCTTAGAAATAGAAATTCCATTTGACCCAGCAATCCCATTACTGGGTATATATCCAAAAGACTATAAATCATTCTACTATAAGGACATATGTACACGAATGTTCATTGCAGCACTGTTTACAATAGCAAAGACCTGGAATCAACCCAAATGCCCATTGATAATAGACTGGATTGGAAAAATGTGGCACATATACACCATGGAATATTATGCAGCAATCAGAAATGATGAGTTTGTGTCGTTTTTAGGGACATGGATGAATCTGGAGAACATCATCCTCAGCAAACTGACACAAGAACAGAAAATGAAACACCGCATATTCTCACTCATAGGCGGGTGATGAAAAATAAGAACACATGGACACAGAAAGGGGAGTACTAAACACTGGGGTCTATTGGGGGGAAAAGGGGAGGGCCAGTGGGAGGGGGAGGTGGGGAGAGATAGCCTGGGGACAAATGCCAAATGTGGGTGAAGGGGAGAAGCAAAGCAAAGCACACTGCCATGTGCGTACCTACGCAACTGTCTTCCATGCTCTGCTCATGTACCCCAAAACCTAAAATCCAATAAAAAATTTAAAAAAAAAAGGGGTGAAAGGATAGTGAGGAAACAACTAGTACTTTGTATCACTTACCTAAGATGCATATATAAGTAATCAAAATGATGAGTGCCCCAAAGGAAAAATTGGTAGACAGAAGCAAAAAATTATAAAAAGAAGAAAGAAAAGTCATTAAAAGCATTTGAAAGTAAACCTCCCTAGTGATCCAAGAACGCAACTGGAATCAGTAAACCTATACATATTTCTATCAAATTTAAAATATTCTAAAAAATTATAATACCTGTTGTCAACACGAGATAACATTTCAGTAAGAAGTGCATCTCCATACAATTAGAGGTGTGTAAACTCAAACAAACTGCAGGAAACAAGTTATTCATCTGTCTCAAGAGTGTTAACAATATGCTAACACTTTCCTTTTGCTGCAGCGATTTCATGTCTAGAAATCTACCTTAAGGCAACAATAATACATGAGATAAGAGACTTTCATAAAAGAATGCTCACTGCCACTGTATTTACAATCGCAAAAAATTTAAAAATCTAAACTTCCACAAAAGAGAAATAACAAAAATAATTATGATTGAGACATATACTAGAATACTAATCAGCTGTTAAAAATCATGCTTAACAGAATACTTGGCAAATTTCTCTAGTGCAATGCTTGAATAAAAGTAAAACTAGGATATGACATTATTTTATAAAGTGGGGTACAAAATGTGAGTGGATATTAAATTTTAAAACAAAATACCTCAAAATTATAAAGGAAATTGTATTTTTAATAATTTTTTTGCATTTTCATGTTGTCTACAATGTACATTTTTATTTAATAGATCATAAAGCCAATGATATTATATTCAAAGTTATTTAGATGAAGATGACTATTTTCCTCAAAACTCAAAACTGTAAACCTCAGCAGATCATCAGAAATTAGTCATTTGCCCAGTTCATAACTGACTCTAATAGCTACCTGCTAATTTATATTATCTTTATTTCTCTTTTTTGCTGAACTTGTTGATTCAATAAATTGATGAATATTTGAAAAATGAGTTTCATATGAAAAAAATGCCCTTATTCATCCTAAGCTCTCTTTGGTTAATGTATTTTGTTACTCAGTACAGAGCCCTTCCCACATGCATAGTGGCATAAATATCATTTTCTCTTTGAGCTCAAACAGTCAGAAATTAATACTTTTACCTTTATGCTGATTTTTCATAATATATGGAATGAGTTAGTGGCCTCAAATTTTATTTTCACCAGCTGAAATCATGGAGAAGAAAATTAAAGGCAAAAATGTTGTTTAAATTGACATGAAAAGTGTATTTTAAGGAATCACAGAATCGCAATGGTTAACCTTCTCTGATTGTGCCAGATACCACACTAAGTGCTTAGCAGTTCTTGGCCTATCGTGTCTTCCCATCAATTCTCTGAGGCAGGTACTATGATTAGCTTCATTTTATAGGCCAGGAGTCTGAAGCACAAAGAGTTATATGCTTGTCCAGGATTGCTCAGCAGTGAGGGGCGGAGTTACGACTCAATCCAAGGCAATGTGGCTACAGCGTCTGCACGTCTGGCCAGATCCTAACACTGTCTCATCATATCAAGAACGATGATAGAATCACCCATAAGTTTTCAACAACGCAGCCTTTGGTAACAAGAGAAAGTTATGTCTTCCCTTATTACAGCTAAAGAAAATAAATTGCTTCTATGTTGATACCATCAGAGAGAGTTTCTCATTTTTACTTTTAGCAGATCTGCTGTGGTACATTTGATAACTTGGCAGAATCCAATAAAGAGAACAACAGAGGGAATATCAGATTCAGAATAGACACAGCTGGTCAGTGGCAAGAACGATAATAAAACATTTTGTCATCTTGAGCAGTAAGCACTGCATAACATCAGGATATGCATTCCTGAACGTATGTGTGTAACTGTGCCTGTGTTTTGTGTCTCTATATGCTGTGTCTGTCCTTTGAAGTATTTTCTTCAATTCATCATCCAGCTTCAAATTCAGACCTGCAAAAAGCTTCAGGCAAAGGGTGTCCTTTCAACTGTTTGTTATTATAATGAGAGCACATTTTACGTGAAGAGCCTACGATTTTAGAATTAAGAGCATAGTAGAGAAAATGATGCAATATTCAGTGAAACGTTCATAAAATCCATCCAGCTGCACCAGAGGCAGCTTTTATGATTCCCAAAAGGAAAGTCAGTTTCCTTGGAACAATAAAAGAATTGCACTTACATAACTGACATTTCATGAGGTGAGATAACTGTTCCTTCAGATTTCCAGAGCTGGCCTATGCAAAGTAGCAGGTCATTATAGAGCAGTGTATGTGTGTGTGCATGTTATACGTATATATCAGTCACTGTGTGGTCTAATAATTGGAGCCCAGCTATTGTGCTGTGTGACGTTCTGAACTAATTATTGCATTCTGCCATTTCAGGTAACTCTGACAAGTCATTCTGCGCATATGTCTCATGACTCTAATTACAAGCAGCTGAAAATAAAGTTATTCCTTAAGTTTTTTGTGTCTTCAAGTGCCACAGTATCCAGCTCTCAGAAGTCCTTACATTCCCTTTATACTCTATTTAGGGTTTCATTGAAATCTGTTATATTTCACATTATACTGAGAGAAAAGCAATCAAGTGGTTTTGAAAGATGTCAGCAAATATCTTGGACCAAATTCCAAAGGTAGTTTCAATGCCCCTAGGATCTTTTTAACATTAAACCCTATTAACCTAGGATCTAGCAACCACTCCTTTCACAGTGGCCAAAAAATATACATATATTGAGAGTTGGGGGGAAAACAATGACTCAAAAATATGAAAAAAAAATTTTTTTTTTAATTACATAATTTCTGCCAACACGGCATTGTGTCATCCTGTGAGCTACAACTCAATTATTAGTTACATATAAATTACTTTTCATTTTGATATTGATCTATCTTCAAGAGTGAGAAATAACGTAAAATCGTCATAATAAATTGAAAGAACCTAGTTGCCTAATCACTATTTTAATTAATAGTAGGCTTGTCACAATTCTTTGCTGTGGTTCTCCAGATGTTCAAATGTATGAATTAATCATTTAACATAAATGATGTGTATTATTATGGTCTGTTGAAGAGTTGGCTAGTTTGGGTTAAAAATCAACTTTGAAGGGTAATTAGAATTAAGCAGTTATGAAAATTCTGCTACAAAACCAGAAGAGTACTGTGGCATGCTGAACTTTTGCTATATTCATAGTCAAAGGAGATGCCTTTTTTATTAACAATCATCACTTCTGTTATAGCCCTGGTTCCCAACCTTGGCTGCACATTAGAATCCCATATAAAGTTTTCAAAATTACATATACTCAGGCCTCACTCAACACTTTTGAACCAGAATCTCAGAGGAAGGCCCAGGAATTTAATATATATATATATATATACATATATATATATCTTTTTTAAAATTACAGGTGATTTAGATGTACTGTTGCTGTGGGGAACAAATAGAGTAACAAGTCAAAATGATCAGATTTCACTGATGCCTTATAATCAAAATGAACTTCAATGTGGCTGACTATGTCGTTAATGGCGCAATGTGTCAAATTTGGTCATGTTTTCAAGTGCCATTTCTGGTTATGTTGCTGCCTTGTTTTAAATGGACTGGGTTTTTTTGTAACTTCAGCTGCAAACAATATTTTCTGAGAGTACATGAAAAATATCAATTTTCTGCAGTGACTATACCACCCCCTAACAGAGTGAAAAGCCACTATTTTACTTCTTTAATGCTGACAAGTCATCTAAAGGGAGACCATTTATCTTTCCTGATAGTTCAGGACAGGAGAAAAATGCATTGTCTCCTTACTGTATTATCAAAACCAAACAAACAAAATCCAAATTAACTCACCAATTTTGTGAAAGAATGACACTTTTAATGAGAGCCTTTGAGATAATAGAATAAAAATATTACCTGTTAAAATGTACACACTGCACTTTGAACAGAATGACAGTTTATTCTCTTTTATTCTACAACCTTAAGAATAAATTGCTTTCTCTTCATCATCACACTCTGTAAGAATGCTTACCAACACACAAGAAGGAATTCTTCCCAAATTCCAGCAGCAAAGTAACAATGCATTTGAAGAAAGGGAAAACAGCAATCTCACAACAGTCATTCCACTAATGACGTGGCCCTTTCAAAATTCGTCCAAAATAACAAATTAAGAATCACTTGAGGTGAGGAGTTCAAGACTAGCCTAGGCAACATGGTGAAACTCTGTCTCTACTAAAACTACAAAAAAATTAGCTGGGCGTGATGGCACACACCTGTAATCCTAGCTCTTGGGAGGCTGAGGCAGGAGAATCACTTGAACCTGGGAGGCAGAGGTTGCCATGAGCAGAGACCGCACCACTGTACTCAGCCTGGGCAAAAAGGCAAGACTCCGTCTCAAAAAAAAAAGATACAAAAATAAAAATAAAATAAGCCTTTTGTATTAGGGTCCTGGGGCTACTGCAACAAAGTATCACCAACAGCATGACTTAAAACATTAAAAAACAAAACAAAACAGAAATGTAATCTCTTGTTGTTCTGGAGACTGGAAGTCCAAAATCAAGGTGCCTGCAAGGTTGGTTCCTTCTGGAGGCTCAGAGGGAGAAAGTCTGTTTCCTCCCGGTTTGTTTGCTACTGACAAACTTTGGGGTTTCTTGGCCTGCAGACGCAAAATTTCAAACTCTGCCTCTGTCTTCACAGGGGCATCTCTGACTCTTCTGATTGCCTTCTTAAAAGAACACCAATCACTGGATTTAGGACCCACCCTGATTCAGTGTGACTACATATTAACTTGATCATATCTGCCAAAATTGTATTTCTAAATAAGGTCACATTCACATAGGTCCTGGAGGTTAGGACTTCAGCATATATTTGGGAGAACATAATTCAATTCACAGCACATGCTTTCATTAATTACAAAATTTTAAAAACTAACTTGCTAACTTTGAGTTTGAGTAAAATAACATTTCATTTATGTTCCTGAATTTAGCCCCATTCAAATCAGGTGATCCTGAGTAAGCTACTTCAGCCTGCTCAGCCTCAGTTTACTCATTTGCAGAAGACCATCTCATAGAACTCTTATGAGGACTAAACATCACAATGTGTGATATAGCGGGCCTAGAGTTAGAACCTGTACAATGCCATTTTTACAAAGAACAAAACTGTTTCCATTCTCCTCACAATGACTGCTAACCTTGGCTTCTGTAAACTGCCAAATTATTTGCAGGATGCAAACTGAGGTAAAGCTGCATACCTTCCCTTATCTGTAACTGCCAGAATTGCTGGCCTTTGTTTACCAGAGTAAGCACCCCCAGATAATTCCATCCTGGCACCAAGTAAATAAAAATCTATGGATCCCACCCCTACCCAAACGATGTGTAAACGAATGTTAATCTCAGCATCTGTGAACCCCTTAAATAACAATCAGAATGTCAAATAGTCCCCTGGCCCTCGAAATGTCTGCAACCCCCTCACCCTCCTCTCAGCCCAGAAGGTGATTTGAATCCACTGGCCCTTGGAATGTCTGAAGCCCCTCACCCCATCCTCTCCCCTCACCCCCAAGGTGATTTTACGAGTATAAAAGGTCTTGTCACTCTCTTTTACAGGGCCACGGGTTGGAGAGACTTGAGTCCTCCATGATTGCCGGCAATAAACCCTGCAATTTGGCATACTTTTGTTCTGGTGTTGACTTTCTATGCTCAGTTCGATATAACAATGTATATCATCTGTATGTACGGCAGGCACATAATAATACTACCCACTTATTGCAGATTTATTATCTAATCCAAAACTATTCTTTAAATGAACAAATTGACACACTAAAGAGTTGAATGACTTCCTAATGTCACCCAGCTAGGAGTGAAACATCTGAGATAAACATCAGACTTCCTAAATCTAGAATACTTTCTACTACATCATTTTGTGCTTTTGAAATTGTAAAAATACTGGATTATTTTTTCCTTTTATTTCTCAATGTTATCAATGCTCATGAACCTCAGTCAGAAGAATGACTTAACTTTAAAATCTGCTTTGCAATGCAAGAGGCAAGTAGATAAGCTATGTGTGATCTTATTTCAAAACAGTTGCAAAGAGACAGAAACCAAGTATTCACACATACACAGACACAAAATGTCTCTGATATGGCATCTGAAATCACAATGTGTGTGTTTGTGTCTGTGTGTACGTGTGTGTACGTGTGTGTGTATACTTGGTTTCTGTCTCTTTGCAACTGTATTCTCTTCTACTTATAGTGTAGTATCCTCATTTCTTCAGTTTTCTTCAGCTACAAGGAAGCCTGGGGCATCACCAGCCACAAGCTTGGTCAACTTCAATGGAGATGGAGGCAGCCAGAATAAAAAATTTGACAGGGCTCATTTAACCAACACTCTTTCACCTGGAAGGCATTTACATGTGGTAGCTGCAAGTAAGGCAAGTGTAACTCTGCCAGCTTTACTTACACAGTAAACCTAGTACCGTCAAATAAAGTGACCTTAACTCCATTACTAGACCAGGCAACTCAACTATCTCAGGTTTCAATAAACTGCGTTTCACTCTCACAATGCCAACTTAGCTATAATCAATGTCAGCAGAAAGAATATGTTTTTAATGTTATTAATATAAAGACCATTTTGAGCTAATCATATTATTTACCAAAAACTTCAGCACTATTTTAGTATTTCGATATTTGGTTTTAATCTTTAAAATTGTGTTATGAATCAATTAAAATAGCCTGATTAAATTTTATCTAGCCTTTTTTAAATAAACATAATTGTTTTTAAAAGAACTGTTTTACTGTGTAAATATATTTCATGCATTTCTAGATGTAATGGGAACTATTTACTCTAAAGGAATTAAGAGATTTATTGTCAAGAATTCTGCTGTGTCATAAACTAAAACACAAAATGGAAAATCACTGTGAACTTACTATGAAAAAGTGATAAACTTTGTTGTCTAATGCAATGATTCATAAAGCTTTACTCAAAATCCTCTGGCTCAACTTCAGAAACCTTATAACCAGTTTTTCTGTATAAACCTAAAATCACTTTTATTTTTCATGTCAGCAGTTTGTGACACTCAGAATTTCTTCCCAAGTATTCTAATTTCATCAAAAATATGTAACAGAGAAGTTTCCCTTCCACAGCATACAGGATCAGTTTTCTCTATGTTAGCAGGATTGTCCTGTCTTTTTCAGGTAAATCTTCTCAAAATGTAACTCACCTGATATTTATAAAAGTTATAAGTATTACTGTAAAGATAACACATTTTCATATTTGTTTATAACTTGTAATAATATGACATAGAGGTATTAGTACCACCAATTATTTTAAAAGATTTATGCATCAGGCAGGTTTTGTGTATAATTCAAAATCATATTCAATGAGATTAAAGGAATTAAGATGCAATTACCCAAATAGTCTCAAAATGCCAGATAGTATCTATTACTCATATCATCTGCCTCAGTGACTCAAAAATCAATAACCCCATAGAGAAATGGCACAAGAAACATCAAGTTGATGTTTAAGACTTTGTTGATCTTGCCATTTATGCCCCTACAATTTCTATCTTCTTAAAAGCAAGAAAATTTTGTGCTTATAATAGCGTGAGTTCATTTTTATACAGGGGAGCGTAATTCAGTTTGTGGTTTGCTATCAATTCACAGTACGGAGAGAGGACAAAAAAAGGAACTTTACAGTAGAGAAACCTGACAAATACTACTTCTGCCAGTTGGTCAAGGTCAACGTCAACACTCATGAGTCATGTTGGCGCATGTATCCTTGATATAAGGTGATGAAAATGATGTCATACCTGTTCTTCCTTCCAATAACTATAGCACTAGTTTTATCATAAGAAAATAATCAGACAAATTCCCACATTGGGTATCCTCTAGAACATCCAACCAGGATTCCTCAAAATTGTCACAGTCATCAAAAAATAAGAAATGTCTAAAAAACTGTGACAGCTAAGACAAGCCTAAAGAGATATGACAGCAAAATGTAACATGGTGCCTGAATGGGATCCTGGTGCAGAAAAAGAAAAGACGAGGTAAAAACTGAAGGAATCTGAATGAACCGTAGATGTGTATGTGAGGAACAATACACAAACATTGGTTCATTAATTGTAACAAATGCCCCATACTAATGTAAGATGTTAATAATAGAGGAACGTGCACAAGACTATGTGAGAACCCTCTTTACTGTCTTCTTAATTTTTCTGTAAATCTAGAAATGTTCTAAGAAAAGGAAGTCCATTAGACAAATCCTCAAAAGTCCACCTGGAAAAAAAAAATAAAGGTGAGTGAAGGCATAAAATGCATTCACATATTTTCAACAAAAAATCTAGTGGATTAATAAGGTCTCCTTAATCATTTGAGAAGAGAATATATTGATATTCTTTATCGGTGCAAATATTCTTTCTCTCTCTTTCAAATAAACAATAAAGACATGTGCAATTATATTCAGAAAAGGCAATTTAGATAGAAGAAGATACAAACTAAGAATTATCCAGTAAACATAGGACAATGGGGCTAGTATTATTATTAGTCTTAATTAGTAGTTTCTTGCTATTAACCTACATATGTCATAAGATGGGATCCTTAATGAATTCGTTCTCTTTCTTGCTTTATGCTACTGGGATTAACTCAATTTCCCTCTTAAAAATTTGCCAAAAACAAAAGCAACTGTCCACCATATGACACGTAAATGGAAGTGGATACCTATTTCATTTAAGAAAAAGGACACTTGTTAAAACATAAATACTTCAATATGTCAGCAAAAAATGCTATTGCAAGTTGGCACATTGCTCTAGGCTTCTCATTAGCACCCTTCTTTCTTGATTGCTTGCTTGCTTTCTCTGTCTTCTTTATAATGTAAAACTTCTTGTTGAAGCATAACAAACAAATAAGAAAATTCAGCCCAATGGATGTTCAAAGTGAATACATCCACCAGATAAGCACCAAGAAACAGAGCATTATTACTGAACCCCTGAAGCCCCAGAGTGTCCCCTTCCAGACAGAAGCCTCCAATGGTAACCACTATCTCAAGTTCTAACAGAATGTTGCTTGTTTTTTGAAATATATATAAATGGAATCATATGGTGCATATTTTTTGAGTGTGGGCCCTTTCACCCAATATTATGTTTGTCAGCTTTATCCATGCCATTGCATTTTTAAAATTTTTCTGTTACTGAATTATACCATTGTATGAATATATAAAAATTTACCTATTCTACTGGGTTGGGTTGTTACCAGTTTAGCACTGTTGCAAATAGTATTACTATTGCTATTGAATGTGTCATAATTGTCCATTACCCTTTTGTTGACTTTGCTGTACCTTCATGGCCTAGCATCTCCAGGAAAGAAGTCAACTAAATATTTACTGAAATCAGAAATATTTCTGCATACCTGTAATGATGCCATTCAAAAAGGACCAAGGCCACATGTTTCTCAGTCTACCCAGTAAGGGATGAAACTGTTCCTCTAAATGACAGCAAGCAAAGAAGATGGATGGCAGGAGAGAAGCTTAGCCTTAGCTGATGTCAATGCAGCGTAACAAGCAGGCATTTAATGTTACGGTATGATACCAGAAACCAACAGAGTCCTGTACAAAAAATGAATTCCTGTTCCTGGATATTTTACCCAGCTATCACCAAACAATAACTTTGGACTAATCACCAGGCCCATTTCTTTGGTCTCTGATGACAAAGTTCCCCTTCAAGAGGAAAGACAGTCACTGCTTTCCAGCCACTAAAAACAGTGAGTGGTAAGTGTATATTTTCACGTGTTCAAATGTTTGTACTTGAGGCAGATCTTGTTAATTACTACATAATCAAGTTGATCCAATGTCATAGCAAAATATTCTCCTGAATCCCAAATTGTCTGAGATCCAGATTTGTCACTGAACAACATTTGAAACTCTCCATGTCAAATTTGTTTACTGAAGCTCAGGCAAGAATCCGTGAGAAAATAATTTAAGCATAAACAGTTCCGAACTTACGTTGGTTCAATTTACAATTTTTCCACTTTATGATTGCACAAAAGCAACGTGCGTTCAGTAGAAATCATATTTCAAATACTCATACAACCTGTTTTTCACTTTCAGTATAATATTTAATAAATTATAGGAGACATTTAACACTTTATGATAAAACAGGCTTCAAGTTAGATGCTTTTGCCCAACAGCAGGCTAAGGTATGTGTTCTGAGCATGTTTAAGGTAATCTAAGCTAAGCCATGATGTTCAGTTACGTGTATTAAACACACTTTCCACTTAATGATATTTTCAATTTTTTACTGGGACATAACCCCATCATATGTCAAGGAGCATCTGTATATTTATTTTCAGCATATATTAATCATAACAGTATTTTAAGAGAAATTTTACAAGACAGATGAATTATAGATTCTGAGGCTATGACATGGCCATTAAATAACCTCTGCTGACAAATAAATCCTGAAAACCCTCAGAAAAGAAAAAGTTATTCTCAATAATTCCCTCTAGTGTTAACTAAAGGAAAAGAAACTAACCAAGGTACCAACTTTTTCAGAGTTGAAGTCAGATTGATCACAAGGTCTTTATCTGTTTATACCCGAGGCTAAAGATGGCAATCAAGGTAAGAGCTTTCTTTCACAATAACATATAAAAATGATGCTTTTACATAAAGAATTTAGGATAGCCTCAGAGTCGCAGATTTTTCTAAATCTCCATAGTAGGAACATCTCTGAGATAGAGACAAATTGACCAAAATTTTGAGTCCTCAAATCTTTAGCCTACACATTACCTCCCTAAAAGATGCCAAAGAATAAATGCAGAGGAGGTGAGCTGGCAGAGAAACATTTCTCAATACTAATCATGATTGGGCTCCAAATTCTTGTCTTCACTCTCACTCTTGAGAGAGGACTGGATCAAATGGGTCAAGAATGCCATGTGTTCCTAGAGCACACATATGGAAGATAAGACCAAGTTTTTCTGGTAATTAAACATTTTACCAAATGGGAAAGGCTTAGAAAATTACTAGCTGGTAATGAGTATGCAATAAATATGAGCTTCCATTTATTTCATTCCCTAGGCTGTATTTTTAGTACAGATGCAACCGGTTTCTTCATGTTGCTCTGCTGGTCTTGAACTCCTGACCTCAGGTGATTCACTTGACTGGGCCTCCCAACATGCTGGGATTACAGGCATGAGCCACTGTACCCAGCCATAGATATCAATTTTTACTCAATTCTTGGTGTGGTCAAAAGCGAAGGGAAGGGCAGGATGAGGGGCCCAGCAGCCACATGGGCCAAGTCAGAGGCAGGAGGAGGAGCTGGGATCTGTGACACGTAGGTGGCCTGGGGCAGGGAGAGCAGGTGGGGAGACATCGGGGCAGGCGTGGGATGGGGAGACATCGGGGCAGGCTGGCTGGCACTGCAGTTTACCGTAACTGCTTGATCTTGCCACATCTCTTTTTCAGTCTCCTGGATGATGTTATTCTGCCTGACCTGCGGGTGTTGTCCGTGAATTTTTTCAGGGATTGGCGGGCACGTTTAGCGGGTGGGGGCCCCTGATCTCTCTCCCACCTCCATTGCTGGGGAGGGACCAGTGGCAGCTGCTGGGGTTGCGCTGACAATTTTGGTTGTCGGGAACTGCTGCTGGTGGCTCTTGGTGTAGAAGAGCTCCTTGTCACAACAGCTGGAGGATCCTTGCACTGGGTCCTCTCCCACGAGCTGGGCTGGTGGTCTTTCCCCAGTACCAGAGAGGCCGCCTTGTCTGGCCAATGGGAGCAGCCAGGAACTGGGCCAGGGAGCACTGCTGGAGCTGGGTAAGGCTTTCCAAAGGGAAGGACGCCTCCTGCAGGGCTGTGTGCGCTGAGCACTCCAAGACCCTTGGGATGGAAGCAAATAACCTAAGTTAAACATATTAACACACTGTAATCATTTACACTGTGATTCATTTCTGTCAGGTTTCCCTTATACCTCCTTAAGGTCCTGGGACTGCAGTTGAGGGAAGCAAGCTTTCCCTGAGTCTCCAGGGGCCTCGAGGTGGGTGCTACTCCCGCACTGCTACAGGGGCCCCCTTTCTCCTCCTGCCCCTGGGTCTCTACCTGATCGTCCACCTCCATCGGTTCTTCAGGCTCCTCTGCTCTCACCGCCGTCTTCAGGATCGGGGCGGCACTTGTAGCAAAGGCAGTCGGAGTGGAAAAGTAAGGCTTAGAGGAGGGATCTTCACGGGTCCCTCGCGTGCGAAGTGGCGTAGCACGGGTTTCTTCCTTGAGGGGGGCCTCCAGGCAAGAGGAGGCAGGTCCTGCATTAGGGCGCTCGAGTTCAGGGTGAAATTCGAGCTCGATGGAAAATAAGGCCCAAGACCTCACGGAGGGCACAAGAGAAATCGGGAACCCTGGAGGGCTTGTGGGGCAAGCACATGCGCAGGAGCTGCGGGGTGAAGCCGGCCAGCTGAAAAGTCCGCATGGACAAGTGGAGACCATCGTGGTTGCCACCGCTGCCAGATCTGGCAGATAAAGGAACACAATTTGCTTAGGGAACTTCCCATAGCATACAAGTTGCGCTCGGACAAAAATCACAGTAAGAAATGGAGAGGGTACTCCTGAATCACCCACTAGTCTGTGGGTGGGCAGCTGGGCTGTTATGACATCACAATGGGGCTGGTGACAGAGCAGGGTGTGGAGCAGTGCACAGGACCCCAGTGAGGGCACCTACAAGTGGAGTCAAAGGGCAAAAAGCGGGGCTCCCCATCCGTCCAGCTGTACCCTCCTGCTCCTGGGGGCAGGTGTGTGGCCCTGGATGGGCCCCGCTGTGGGGCTGTGGGGCATGTGGGGCTGATCTGCCAGAGCCCTTTCCACCTGGTGCCTGGCCCAGGTGCTGGCTGGCACCCAGTGGCCATGTCTTGGCTGGCCTTGTCCCCTGGATTACAGGGCCAGACCCTGCTGGAAGCAGAGTGCAGGACTAGCCAGATCCTGCCAGGCTCCCCTAGGGCCTCCTCAGTGCCTCTGTGCCGCCTAGAGCCAGGCCCTCCTTTTCCGTTGTGGTCCTGGCCTCGCTGGAGAGATTTCAGGAGAAAATGCATGCCCTGGCTTGACTGGCTGCTGCCCCTTACCACTTCCCTTCCTGGCGGGCAGGGAACTTTCTTTTACAAATTTGCCTGAGAACTTCCTTCAGGTCATTCGGGTGATCATGACCCAGCCAGGCTTTGAACCCAGGCTGTGGGATTCCACAGCTGGCACTCTGGCCTGTGTGCCTCCTCATCATGGATACAGCACGTATTCTAAATTTTCCCATAGTCCTACGGTACTTAGCACCGTGGCATATCTGTAATAAGCACATACACACATAGAAGGAGGTCTTCAACACATAAGTTGACCATGGCCCACTCTGGGCTCCTCTTCAAAGATGTAGGGCAGGGATCACCAGCTGTCAGCACAGCACCATCCCACATTGCACCTCTCATGGCACAATGTTCATGCCATTCAGCCCCCAATGTTCATTCAGCCCTGATGTTCTTTCTCGGCTGGTGGGAGGAATCTAAGTACGTAAAGACGATGTTACTAGATCAGCTTTGGTCTATCCTGAAAGAAATTCACCAGTGGCCTATTCTATATAGATAAAAGCCAATTTCTCTAGTCTTTCTAGATGTGTCTAGAAAGCAAGTACATTATTGATTGGCAAGTTATAGTGGATCAATGTAACGGATTAAAATATGATCCGCGTAATTTGGTCATACAATGGGGATGGATAACCATGAAGATAAAGTGGTTTAATAAGAAGCACCTAGCAGGAAGTAATAGACAGTAATAACTGGCAGCTGCTGGTATCATTAGATGTTGGGAAAAAGAGAAAAGGAGTAAGGACTTACAGATGCCTACATAAATTGATTATAAGTAACATATAAACAAGAAACGACAAACTGAGGAAGGCTGCAGCAGACCTCTGAGGAGGAAGGTCTCTTCATGCCTCATGCTCCAGTGCAGGGTGACCTCGGCTCTGTTACCAGAGAGAAAGTAGTAATTTAGGAAGAAACATGATTAAAGAAGGGAGCAATCCCTGCAAAAGATGACTAACAAATAACAAAAATTCTCCAGGATAATACACATTGAGGAACATCTCCTCAATGTGTATCATGTACTGTGATAAATAGTTCTTACAGTGGTGCAAGGGAGAAAAATCAAGGGGAAGGAACAAATGCTACCAAAATGAAAAGACGTATTTGGGCCATACAAACTCTTAAAAACCTTGGTCTGAGACAGAAGGATTGCTTGAGCCCAGGTGTTTGAGGTTAGCCCAGGTGTTTGAGCTATGACCGTGCCACTGCACTCCAGCCTGGGCAACAACACAGGGAGACCCTGTCTCTAAAAAATTATAATAACAAATTTTTAAAACATAGTTCTATGAGGTAGGTTTAACACTTGCTACTCACAAATGCTTTCTGTAGTTAAGGATAAAACTACATCCTTAGAATCTGCAAGGCAAAATGTTATTTATTTCCCATTATCCATCAACCACAAGTTGCCCTCACAAAGATGGACGATCTAAATGTCAGTTTAAAAAGGGGCTTCACAAAAGTGTATTCCATTCCTAATCACATCTGTGAATGTGCTGAACAGTCCAACTAATTGGTTTTCTTCCAGATATTTTCTGGTTCTGCAATTCCCTTTTGGATGTTTCTAACATACTTTGATACAAACCATTCAGCAACTAAGCCCACAGAACACAGTAAAATAACTCCGGGAAAAAAAAATAGGCATGGTTGGTGTTGAATATAAGCAACAGACAATATGTGAACTAAGCAAATCATTAGGGGAAATCTTCATCTTCTCTGATATTTTCATTTTGATTTAATAGGCACAGAAAAACATATGCTACAATTATGGAAAGTAATACATCAAAATAAAGGTACATCACATGACACCACACCTTTGGAGATGCATGAAATAATAGCAAAGGCCCTGAAAACTTTAAAAATGGGGCATTCTGAGTCTTGGCAAACCTTTGGGGAATTAAGAGAACGAAGTAAGGCAATTTATTACTTTCTACAGTTTACAACCCTAGGAGATTTAGGGAATGTACATATATATGCTTCTTCTATAAGGCTGGTTAACACAGGAGATCAGGGTATTTTCTTTACATTTCATTTCTGTAGAACCCTTGAAATTACATAGATTTGAATGCCAGAGGGAAAATAGAAATTTCCATCGCAAGTTTGGTAACAAGCATTGCAAGTAAAGGGTCAGTGTTCAATGTTCTATGAGTGGCCTACAAGCCTGAGCTTTTGCAAATAATGGCATATGCTTTCCTTCTCCAAAAACAGTGACAAGAAGATGAGAAGGGACTCCCAGTTGGGGAGGCCAATTGAGGGGCAAATGAGCCTGTCCTGCACTTGAAAATCAGTGCATGTGACAGAGAGCAAGTAACACTTAGAGCTCTAGTGGGCTGATTGGCATCCTAATAGCAAATCAAGACAAGCAATCCATTCTTTTAATATATAGTATTTGTCTTTTGGGGCAGATGAAGCTATACTAAGAAACCATGAATTTCATTCCTCAAGTAGTTTACCATGTAAGAAAATTACAGGAAAAAAATTACTAGGTACCTAAACAAAAAAAAAAAAAAAAGAGGCTCAACAAAGAAAAATAAATTTGTTGCATCAAAATTTCACATATTATAAAAAATACATATTTATACAAATGGTAAACCCAATCTAATGTAAAAAAATATTTAAAATATTAAACACATCCAATTGGTAACATATTATGTTGCTATTAAAAATAATAGAGTACATCTAGACTTACTATAACGTTCGTACAGGGATCTTACTGTTTCCTCAAATCCCAATCAAAACGATGAAAGAAAAATAAAATAGAGGAGTCATTATAGAACTCTGAATACAAAACCAAGGTGACATTCATATGGCACAGTCTTTGAGGAAGTTCCACATAAAGTTCTAAAGATCAATCGTAAATTTCTATAATGAATCCTAGGGGGTCAGGAAAAATATGAAACTGATAGCAAACAATTCAAAACCTTGTTGACATCAGCTCTATTCAGAGGCACATGCCCTAAGCTGCGAGTTCAGCAAAGCTTGTTGGATAAGACTCCATGGATAAAACAGGATGCAGTAAGGAAGCTGGCCAAACCCAACAAATCTAAGACAGCAACAAAAGCCACTTCTGGTGGTTCTCACTGCTCACTATACACTAATTATATAAAGCATTAGCATGCTAAAAGACCCTTCCACCAGCACCATGACAGTTTACAAATGCCATGGCAACACCCAGAAGTTACTCTATATGGTCTGAAAGGAAGAGGAACCCTTGGTTCCAGGAATTCCACACCCCATTCCTGAAAAGCTCATAAGTAATCTACCCCTTGACTAGCATTTGATCAAGAAATAACCATAAATATAAAAAAAGTCATAAAAATAATCATAAAAATGGCCAATCACCCTCTCATTCTTTTATGTTTTAATAACTTGCTCTCACTTAACTCTGTCTGTTCACTCTTGAATTCCTTCCTGTGCAAAGCCAAGAAACTATGTGACTTCTCAGGCCAAACTCCAACTTTGAGGTTTGCCCTAGGACATAACCATGTGAAATAACCAGTCTGGTGACGAAGCCTTTCCTTGACATGGTAGGCAGTCTTGCCAGGATGATGGTGGACATCACGCCTCTTCCCTCTCATTCTACTGAGAATGAAGGCTCAGTAAAAATATTACAGATAAAAGTGTGTCTTTGCTCAAGAAACATAACTGCCTACAGAGAACAAACTGTACTAAAAGTCTGTTTATTTCCTCTTATGCCAGGCAATGGATCACAGAACTGATAAAGTCACTTTTAATCAAAAATTTCTTCTGCAAAACATGCTAGAGAAGAATTCTAATAGCATCCTTATGGACAGTGAGAGGATACAAACAAAGCTTCTATGTTTCTGATTAATACCAGGCTAGACTGGTGTACCAACAAAATCCAACATCACACCCAGATTTCACTGTGCAAAGTTAAAGATGCAAAAGAATATTGCTTGTTATTGATCTTTCCTAAGAAAGCATAAGTAAATTATGATGTATTAGTAAGTTCACAGTAGAATTCTATGAAATATGAAGTACTTAAAATAGGAGAAAAAGAAAGGATAATGAAACAGTAAAGCAGAGCTGAATAAGACACAGAAAAAAATGTAAAAAAGTTAGAAATGCCATGGATAAAAGCAGTCTTACAGAAGCCAAAATACATCAGAAGGTTTCATCTAACATATGAAATTAACCTGTTTACTACAGCTACCAGAAGGCACTGAAATAAGACAGAAATGAATACTGCAAGAGAAACTATGATAGGCTATTTGACATCACTAAAAAAGAGACTGCAAAAAAATGAAATAGAAGCAACAATCAAATATATGATACATATTTTTAAATACTTCATATCTCATAAATATTACACAACCCCTGAAATGAAGGCTAGAATCTTCACACCTCAAGAAACTTATAACTTTCCAGAAACAAAATTTTAAAATAAAGTTAAAAAACTAACATACCCTGGTAAATAAAACTTTAGCATCAATTCCAAAAAAATAAATAAATCATGCAAGCATCCATGCAGAAAAACAAAAGACAAATACAAAAACTGGCCACAGACTGTTCTGTTTATTATTTGTGAGAACAATATGAAAGAAGAATACAGATTTGTGGGAAGCAAAATGTTATATATTAGAAATTCTGGAACAAACAAAAGTTAACATTTTACATGGTAGGCAAGAAGGCATTCTCAAATACTCTCACAAAGTAAACACATACTTATTTTATAAAAACTATTTAGAGACATATTCTAGGTAACCATGAGACAGACTGAAATGAAGACTCAGGAACAGAGAAATCAAGGCAGAGAAACATTGCCCGATAATGATGTCTCATCACTTCTATACACAAGTAAGTCTAACTTGTTGTAAATGCCATTATTTAAAAAGAATTAAAATTTTATAAACAATTATTGAATGCTAAATACATACTGTAAAATGTTATTTAACAAGCTGGAATATTTTGCAAAGGGCATAATGAAGAAAATATTTTATTTGTAAATATATTTTTAAGCATAAACACTACTGTTAAAAAAAAAAGAACAGACAAAAACCACATATACACATAAATAGGCAAATCTCAAAAGAAAAAAAAAGCCACATAACCATTTGTTTAAAGGATTTCTAAAACTATAATTTTAATCATCTCATCTTGGAGTGTAACACAAAGAGAACCAGCTATCAGCCTGAGTATCAGGAATTTTCCACAGAAAGTTTGTATTACTTTCTCTTCTTAGAGAGAGGTAACAGACAAAATGATTCTGTTAAGGTTACATATTAAGTATATCTTATTTTTAAATATGTAATAAATTATGATCATTGTGTACTTATCTATAAGACTTGGCCAGAAGAATATTTGACTAAAATAAAAACGGTTGAGCCAATTAACATTTGCCGTCTTCTAACAGGCAATTCTAAGGAAAGAAACCAATGAGAAGAGCCAATGTCTGACGTAACAGCATGGTAGAAATAGAATAGTCAAGAACATTGTTGATGGGAATGTAAATTAGTGTAGCCATTATAGAAAACAGTATGAAGGGTTCTCAAAAATCTACAAACAGAACTACTGTGTAATCCAGCATTCTCACTACTGATTATTTATCCAAAGGAAAGTAATTAAATATTAAATTTATTTAATTACTTATTTAATTACAATATATTAAAGGGATAGCTGCATCCCATGTTTACTGTAGCACTATTCATAATAGCCAAGATATGGAATCGACATAAATGTCCATTGACAAAGAAAGTTGTGGTATACATACACAATGGAATACTGTTATGCCATAAAAAAGAATGAAATAGTGTCATTCACAGCAACATGGATGAGTCTATATTAAGTGAAATACGTCAAGCACAGAAAGAAATACCACATGCTTTTACTTACATGTGGCAGCGAAAATGAATTCAATTGTTTTTTAGCTGCCACATGTA